CCTGTATCACATATGCAGATGGTAAGTACTGTCTGCTGTCACTGGGTAATAAGCAGATGGCTTAGAAAAGTGTCCTCAGAGGGGCTATTGAGACTCTAGTCCCAAGTCACTAACAGCCATAACCTTTAAGGTATCAGAAAGCAGAGATCCACCCAGATGCCTCCACAATCATGTAAGTATTTTAAAGACAAAATGTATACTGAATTCCATAAAATGGTGGCACACTTCACATCATGTGTATTGACTACACAGGGGGACACAAAGTGGCTTTGAAAAATATAACTCAATTGTAAGAGGCACTTTACCTAACAAATGCAATCAGTGTAACCTGGTTTCTTGTACCCTCAATGAATCCTCAATAATAAAAAAAGAAAGAAAAAAGAAAAAAATAAAGATATAATTCAATCACATATAAAGTTTGACTTGTATACAATATGTCTATTATCCTTAGGTAATGTTAAACATCCTTAAGTATTATGAAATCTTTAGTGATCTGCTCAGTAGTGTATTTATTTTATCTTTAGTTCGCCAGCCTTTTTCATGGCAGCTCCATTATATGTGTATAATTATCCTTAAGACAGGGAAACGGATACTCAGAGAGGTTATGTAACTTAGCCAAAATCTCACAGCCAATAAGGTGAGAGCCTGGCTTTGGATGGAGCTTGTCAGGCCACTGAGTTCTTGCTTTGTTGGCCAGCCACTCCCTCTCCAGTGCACAGGGACATTTGTTTTTGTAGCTTTATTAGCAGTCCTTATCAGCCACCTCGCCTTGGCCTTGTCTGCAGTGTCTGCTGTCTCCCTTACCAGGCTGCAAGCTATTAGAGACCAAGGAATGTCCCCCTAAATCCAATCTGTGTGGCACAGGGAACAGCTGGGCATATGTTGTTGGATTGGACATAAATGAATTAAATAGGGCTCTGTCCCAGGGACCTATGATGGGGATAGTCTCAGGCATAGCTGACTTGCTAGAGAGAGCACTGTGGCCACTTGTCCCCACCCCTTCCTTCCAGAAATCCGGTTTGGCAGTTCCTACTGGGTTTCCTGTTGAAACAAAGTAACCTCCCAGAGCATCCTCCAGGCAGAACCCAAAGGGCTCCTCCCACAGCCCATCCACTCTTTGTTTCCAACAAATCCCTTAAATACTAAAGGGTGAAATTCCTTTCCCAGTTACTTGGGCCCACTGTGAACTCCAGCTCCTCCTCTGAGCTGTACAGCATATGGTGCCAACTGTTTGCTGTAACCATGGGTCAGTGATGCATTCAATTGTGTAAAAGACAAAGAAGTTTGGAAGATTACCTCATGTGTTTCAATATGAGCGTGAAAAGACCAGGGCACAGGGGGGAAAGCTGCTGGTCTCAAATGGGGATGAGGCAGAGATAGCCTTCTCTGTGGGATATTCATTCATTCAGGTCCCCTGAACCCTGCCTGAGACCCTACATCTAACAGTCACTGTTGAAAACAGCTCTTTTGGTTTCCACCTGTAGCCCTTTGCTCCATGAGACTGGCACGTGAACTAGGAGCGAGAGCCTGGGCACAAATGCCACCTGTCCTCCCTGTCCCCTTGATTTAGCCCCGAGGTTCCTAGCTCCTGTGGCTACAAAGCTTGAGACTCACAAGGACTCTGAAGCCAATTTAGTTTAACCCATACATCTCTGTTTTCTAGATGAGCTAGAGCCCCAGAGAGGTTAACCACCTTGTCCCATGTTCCCCATCTCCTAAGTGGGTTGACAGCCTGGGTGGATCGTCACTCCACAGCTCCCTAATGCCTCTCCTTTACTGGGCACATCTCCATTAACTCAGGGACACCTCAGTTAGCTGAACTGATCAGGAAGTAGGTTGTTCTGGGAAAGAATTTTTTCCTGAGACTCTAGGTTCAAGTAGGGCTTCCTTCTTTAGGCCTTGGTGATAGGGTATGATGCCCATAACCTCCAGCCCCCTCTGTGATCTGCCCCCCCTGCTCCACACCAGACAGACAGACCACCTCCGTGAAATTTCCCCATCCCCAGTACCTGATCCCCCATCCCCAGTGACTGGTTATTTTTCTATCTCCTTGCCCCTCCCAGATCCTCCCACCCTGGTCACCTCCAAGACTGACTTCCAGTCTTGGTTTCCACTGGGACTGTCTGCCTGGTACGTCCTGCTATGTGCAGCTCATAGCAGGAGGGGGAAAGTTCAATGCTGCGTAATATTGGCTCATAGGAGACCCTTGGGAGGTTTTTGTGGACTGAATAAGACTCAAATTTTGGTTCCAAAGATATTTCTGAAAGACCAGAGACCACTCTCCTGCCCCAGTCAATGCTTACCCACTGCAAGCTTCGGTGTGAGGCATCCATAAACAGAATCCTCTGCCCCCAAAGGCCTGCCTGCTGGCCTGTCATTCTACACTTTAAAGTCTCATCTCTTTGATTCTGAAAGCTTCTGGAGCTTTCTACTCCAGTGCATAGAAGGGTGGCCAGTAGACATGAGGAGAGATGGCAGTATCTAAGAATCAAAGGAATGCAAATCCAAACAGCAGATAGAAGGCATTTTTGACCTATCAGATGGGTTTAAAGCAGTTTTTTAAAAGGTGTAGTTTTAGAGGCATAATGAATCACTCTCAGACTCTGGGTAAAAACTGGGACAGCTTTTGGGGACAATTTTACTGTAACTATATAAAAAAAGAACACTTTGAGGCATCTGTCCTACAAGAATATTCACATCCATGCACAAACTTGTATTATGAGCATATTCATCATAGAATGAATTGTATTGGTGGGGAAAAAGTCTGACTTCAGATGTCAATTCACAAAGGTTGATTAAACTCATCATGGGACAGTCATACAACATACGTCTCTCTAGCCACTTAAAAGGATAAGTTAGATCTTCATATAGTGGTGTGGAAAGATGCCCACTATCTGTGGTTCCATGAGAAAAGCTAGCTGAAGAATGTGTGTATGTGTGTAATAAAAGAAAGAAGTGTGTGTGTCTAACCCAAGCATTTGTCTCTAACTTCAGAGTCACCTTCCTACATTACATTTGGGGACAATCGGAATGTATGCCTGTCTTGTTGGCGACTACTGAGTCATGTACCCAGCAGGTTGTCCCTAAATCAGTCCTCATCCCTGAACACCCTTGAGCAAGGGCTATCAAGGAAAGACGGTCATAAAATGTGCTGGGTCCCCCACCCCCACACACCATCCCCACTTAGGACTGGGGGAGTGTTGGGCTTTACTGGAGGGCTGGAGCCACCAACTGGGATGACAATGGGTATGGGAAAGCTTCTCAAACTCTCCCCTAATTATAAACTTTTTCTCAAGTGGACTTTTGAAACTAATTTACTGAAACTGAGAATAGGACACTGCAAATCTTTGATTGAACCTGCCTTTTCCTGGAACCTTCCAGTTGACAGGTTCAGCAGCCGGGTTTTTGGAAGATCACAAGTGCAGAAATACTTGTATCTGTCGTCTGAGTAAGAACTAAGAAGGGAAGCTTCTCATAGAAATTGCTTTACGGGCACCCAGCCTTGCTCCCAGGTCCTCGGGTCTGCCTTTGTCTTTCTTGGATGTGCTTTGCACGTTTGTTCGCAGCCTTCAGAATTATCGAGTGGCTGGTGTTACATATTGACGTAACCTAGTAAATTGTTCCCCTAACGTTGGTCGCTTGCAGTGTTTCTATGTTTTCTGTGTACATGATGCAATGAACATCTTCACGCATGGAGATTTTTCTTATGTTGTATTTTTAAGAGTGAAGTTAGTAGGTCAAAGGGTACAATATAAATGTCTTTACGGCTCCTACTAAAGATTGTCAAATTGCTTCCAAAAGAGTTGCTCTGATTTATAATACTACCAACATCAACAGAATCTACGGGTTCCAGTATAATCTTGCCAACACTGGCTTTTTTTTAAAGTTGGCTATTTTAGCAGATTACAAATGGTATCTCAAAGCTGTTTTTCCTGTTTTTCTCCTTACTAGCAAGGGTGGAGTTCAGATTTTCAAAAGATTTGTTTTAAAAGTATCCTAAGTTGCAGTCACATGTGCTTTCTTCTTCCTACTTAGCCGACAACAAGTAATATTAATAATGATGTTAACAACATGAACTATGATTCCTTAGGTCTTTAGAGCACTTTACAGATTATGAATTGGTACACCGTTATGTCATGTTATTCTGCCAATAGGCGAGGGAGGGCAAGGATTTTTCCCCCTTTATATTCAAAACAGTTGAAACTATACAGAGTATGTTTCGTTTGAGTGGCAGACACCCACGGGGGCTAATGTAGATAATCTGAGAGGAGGGTTATTCAGAGATTGCAGAGAAACTGCTCAGTCTGTCTCTCTGGGGCCACGTGGTCTCTTCTCTCTGCTTCCCTCAGCGTGTCCCATCCTCCTCTCCGCAGATCATCTTTTTCTGCTTCTTTATCAGCATCCACCAGACTGAAAATAGCAGCTATATCCAGGCTCTGCCCATCCTTTTAGCTCAAGTCCCACCATCTCATCAGAGTCTCTGCCCCGAGTCCATCATCCCTCAGGAGAGACCTCGGCCTTCCAGCTGATGCATTGCTCTCTGCTTAGGAGTCCATCCTGGGTTGGGGACAGAATGGCAGACAAGGCCATACGGTTAAAGGCAGGTCTAGGACCGAGAAGGGTAGAAAGAAGGCACAATCTCTCAGGAATGTGTGGGATGGAAAGCCGAGATAGGCTTTTTAGTACAACATTTTCTAGAAGCTGCATGGTCCTCTGAGCCTGACTAGACCACAGCAATAGCAACCCACTTGTAATAATAGCTCTTAGGTCTATAGAGACGTCGCAGAAAAAAACCCTCTCAAAGGTAGAGGGGAGATGATCTCTTTCCTCTCTAGCCACACCCAAGGACCTCCCCACAGGCTGTCCTCACCGCCTGGAGCCAGGAGGTGCCTTACCAGGCAGATGTTGGAAAGCCTGGTGTCCAAGGGAGGGGACGCTTGTCATCAAGGGCGCCTCCTGGCCCTGCCCACCCAGCCTGGTTCCTCCGTCCCCCTCTGCAGGTCCGGATCTGGGAGATTCCCGAAGGCGGGCTGAAGCGGAACATGACGGAGGCACTCCTGGAGCTGCACGGGCACAGCCGGCGCGTGGGGCTGGTCGAGTGGCACCCCACCACCAACAACATCCTGTTTAGCGCGGGCTATGACTACAAGGTGCGGGCGGGCCAGAGCCAAATTGGTGGGGAGATAAGGGGGTCTCCGGGGGCCCACAGGGAGCACTGCTACGTCCTAAGCAAACAGTATTGCCTTACCAGTCCCTTCGCTCACCATTCACTACACACGACTGAGCATCCCCTGTGTGGCCCCGTCGTTCCTGGGGTCCGAAGAGGCTGCAGGCATCTTTTCTGCCTTCTGTTGGTGGCTGAAGGACTGGAGGAGAATGCCCATTCTATGCCCACCCTTTGCTTGGCCATTTCCCAAGCAAGAGGTGGGTACTGCTTCCTGGTAGAAGAAAAAAAGCTGCTGCTGGAGGAAAGAAGGTGGAGCCTCAGCCTTTGCTTCAGGCATGTCCTCAAAAGAGGTGTGCCAGCCACCTGGGAGCTGGCAAGGAATCTGTATCTTTCTTGCCAGTTACAGAACGGAGCCGGGATGGAGCTGGGATTTGACCAAGGATATTAATGGATCTGTGTGACAGGAACGTGTCAGCCTTTCCATGTAGAACTCAACAACCCTGTCCAGCAGCCCGGCACACCTTGGGCCCTGCCTGGGGGCTTCTCCCAGGGCCACACATGCCAGGACTTCAATAGCGGCTGACTCTGCCTCCTGTGCATCTGTCCTTCAGGTCCTCATCTGGAACCTGGATGTGGGCGAGCCGGTGAAGATGATTGACTGCCACACGGATGTGATTCTCTGCATGTCCTTCAACACAGATGGCAGCCTACTTACCACCACGTGCAAAGACAAGAAGCTGCGTGTGATCGAGCCCCGCTCGGGCCGTGTTCTGCAGGTGGAACCCTATATTTTCTGAGGGTGGGGGAAAGTCCTGGGGCCTCTAGCTCAGCGGTACCAGCCCCCTTCTCCCATGCACTTTTACTGACCAGCCCATCTGTTCTGGGCCCTGCCTTATTCTGGGTGGGGAGGGCCCTCAGTACCCTTCACTGTACCCCTTCCCCTAGACAGGGTTGTCTGGCCTACTGTGGAGTCTGAACTGGTGACACCTTCAGTGTATAAATCTCTAGATGTTAACAAGTCCTGTCAGGGGCACAGGGAGAGGAGAGGAGGATTTGGGCTCACCACCCAGCCATCTTCATGAGATGAGCTGGTGGGAAATGGCTCAGGGTAGCAAGGGTGATGGTGAACTTAGCTCCACTTTGAGTCTTTGAATCTCCTGGGTCTTGGGTATGAGGAAGAGGTAGGTGCCGTTTGGTAGCAATTGAAAATTCCTGAGCACCTACTGTGTCTTGGGACTGGGTGAGATGGAAAATTTAGATGAAATGTGAGGTTTGCCTCCTATGTAAGAAAGGCCTGATGTGTTCATCATGGAAGAATCCATCATTGCAAGGCCAGAAGGTTATCTACTGCTGCAGGCTGGCCATCCCAAATCCAAACATCCCAATTCCAAAATGCTCCAAAATCCAAAACTTTTGCGTGCCTATGTGATGCTCAAAGGAACTGCTCATTGGAGCATTTCAGATGTTCAAGTTGGGAAAGCTCAACCAAAAGTTAAGTAGAATACAAATATTCCCAAATCCAAAACCATCCTAAATTCAAAACACTTCTGGTCCCAAGCATTTTGGATAAAGAATAGTCAACCTACACTACTACAAATAACAGTAATTACAGTTGTCAGGTTCGTTGGTATTAACTGATACTTCCTAAGGGCTCGCTGTGTGGCACCCTGGCCAAGGGCTCTGCGTCTTCTCACTTAATCTCAGGACGGCCCTCTGAGGTAGGCACTGTGACTGTTCTCATTCTACACACGAGAACACTGAGCCTGGGTGAGGTTGGGAGACTTGAATCTCACAGTTCCAGCAGGGGCTAGATTTCAAACCCAGAGCCCCTGCTGAACAGAAAGAATGTTAGAGAGAAGAGAACTCAACCTCCAACTCACAGATGGGGACACGAGCCCAGAGAGGGTGAGGGGCTTCTCCCAGGCTGCACATTTTTTAGTAAGGCTGGGACTAAAATCCAGAGCAAGTGCCGCCAGCCTGGATCTGTGCACTGTCCCACTAGCCTCTTTTCTGACCTGATGCTGACTCACCTGGAGAAGGCCTGACATAGGTTAGGAGGGAATCTGGTGGCGTTGTGAGCTGATGGACAGGACAGAAACAGAGGACAGTTCAGTGAAGGTGATGAAATGAGTTGTCAAACAGGAAACCTACATGAGTCCTTGTTCTCCCGAACCTCAGTTTCTTCATCCTCAAAATGGTTATCCCCAATAATATTGTTATGAGCTTCAAAAGAGACGCCCCTATAACGTCAGTTCCCTTATCCTTCCCCAGTCCCCAGGCTCTGGAGAACAGCAGAAAGACCTGGACTCCTGGTTCCCAGGGCCTCACTGCTCCATGGGCCCTACAGGAGTTTCCTGTTTCTGCTATAACAAGTTACCATAAACCAGGTGGCTTGAAACAACAGAAACTTATTCTCTCCTAGTCTGGAGGCCATATGCCCCAAATCAAGGTGTCAGTAGGGCTGCACTCCCCGCAGAGGCTCTGGGGTAGGGTCCGTCCCTCACCTCTCACTGGCTGCTAACACTCCAGTCTCCACACCCACCGTCACACACAGGAACCATTTTAAAGAAACATTCCCAAGGCCCAGGGGATTAGGACATATCTTTTTCAGGGAGAGGACAACATTTATCCCACTATAGTATTCAAGCGTTGGGGCCTCTGGCTCACCAGTTCTTTCTGTTCCCACCAGGAGGCAAACTGCAAAAACCACAGAGTGAATCGGGTGGTATTCCTGGGAAACATGAAGCGGCTTCTCACGACAGGGGTCTCCAGGTGGAACACGAGACAGATTGCACTCTGGGACCAGGTCAGCCACAGAGAGCCCAGGCAGTGGGCAGGAGGGAGCAGGCAGCCTAGACCTGGGGTCTCTGCTTCCAGGATAGGGCAAGAGTAGAGTGAGGTTTGCAGTCTGGGGTCCCTAGGGCCTCTGATCCAGGTAGCATGATGTGCTATGGAAGGGAAGGATAGAATGAGGCTCAGAGGATACTGTGGGACGGAGCCTCAGAAGGGCCTCTGCCCAGCCTCATGTAGGGTGGGGAAGGCAGGGCCGTCTTGGCTGGGGCTTAGATATGGTCACACCCCCGCCCAGACACAGGTGTGCATTTCCCTGTCACAAGTGTGTGATGGTATTCGGTTGTGGAGTGGGACATGGGGTCCACTGGGTCTGGAAGACTGCAAAGCCACTCCTTGTCAAGGCCCCAGGCCCTGGGGAAGCTGAGTTGGCATTTTCTTTCTTTCTTTTTTTTTGCAGTATTTGGCTGGGGCTGGGCTTAAACCTGCCATCTCTGGCATATAGGGCTGGCACTCTACTCCTTTGAGCCACAGGCACATTGTCACATGGGTGGCCAGTGTAGCCTGGCTTCCGGCTCCAGCACTCTGCCCTTATCACATGCACCTGCACCCACACCCCAGGGAAACCACAGCCTTCAGCCAGGCCAGGTGGACTTTTGACTGGGTTAATAGAGTCATGGGGACCAGTGTCTGGTCTCCCCCAAGTCCCCATCCTTTCCCACCCACTACCTCACCCAGAGTAACAGGCCAGTGAGAGGGCCCTGGACAACAGCAGCAGGTATGCGAAGAGGGTATTCAACTCTCTGTGAGCACCAAGGCCTGTTCCCCCATCATTTGAACAGAGTACTAAGGAGAGGGATTGGTTAAGGCCCTTCCCACTGCAGACTCTCTGCTCTTGAAAGAGAGAGACACAGCACGGCTCGCTGAGGACACAGCAGGAGTGGGGTGGTGGGCAGACCAGAAGGCCAAGGGGCAGCCTGCTTAACTGGGGCCAAAGGAAGCATTCATTGCTTTGGAGGTCGCGTCCTCAGAGGGTCATGCCAGTTTCTGACACAATCCCCAAGGAAGAAACCAGCCGGAGCGCATGGAGGGCTTCAAGGGGTAACACCAGCTACACCTGCAGGATGTTCACCCTCTTTCTCCAGAGTTGAGGGCTGAGTCCCAGAACGATTAAGTAGCAAGTAGTGGGTTTGGGGAGAGGACACTGAGAACAAGTCCCCTGCCTCCCACTGCTGCCACAATAGGCTGCTTTTCATGACAAGGAAGTCGGTCTTGCCACCACTCACAGGACAGGCTTTATAACATCTGAGGGAGGTCTTGATCTAAAGGGGTCTAACTCTGGGAGGCCCTGCTGGGTTTGGGGAAGGTGGCCTTCCATCCTGCCTGGACATAGGCTGAGACCTGCTCCTCTCCCACAGGAAGACCTGTCCATGCCCCTGATTGAAGAGGAAATCGATGGGCTCTCAGGCCTCCTGTTTCCTTTCTATGACGCTGACACCCACATGCTCTACCTGGCTGGAAAGGTAGTAGGAGGTGGGGGAGGGTCTGGAGCAGCTTCAAGGGCCCTGCCCTACCGTCCCTGGGCCCCACCTGACCCCCTAAGAAGCACCACCCTAACCTCTCTGGCCTCCCCTGACCCAAGCCAAGCCCCTGGGCCCCACCCTTTCCCTTGGCACCTGCCCTCAAGTCTGACACTCATCCTTACTGAAGTGTCAGTGACCGGGGATTCCTTCCAAGGTGATTTACACTGGAATAAAGATCAGAGCCTGCAGTGTAGACAGTGATGAATGATGGGATTTGAGGCATCTGCCAGGAGATGTTTGTGAGCACAGACTTCCTTGTGAGAAAGGTTGTCTACACAGCGCCCGGCCCACCCACCTCCAGCCCCAGCACGTCCCCTGGGGCAGACTCGCCAGGGAGCTAGAGGCTGGGTCTACCTGGATGTTTGAGCACCTCTGCAGTGCAGGAGAGAGTCCTGTTTGGCCTGCTCTGCCTCCCTCACCTCTGCTTCTCCTGTCCCAGGGGGATGGAAACATCCGCTACTATGAGATCAGCACGGAGAAGCCCTACCTGAGTTACCTCATGGAGTTTCGCTCCCCAGCCCCACAGAAGGGCCTAGGTAAGGCACCCAGGGCTGCTGTGGCTGGTGTACTCTGGAACAGGAGATGGGACATTTAGCTCATGGTCACCCTCCTCCCCTAAATGGAAATCAGACTGTGGGCACATCAGAATGGAACCTATGGGTGCTGTGTCTCGTGAGAGTCAGCCAGCCTTTCCTCAGCTGGCCTGACTCTGCCTATTCAGCCAGCACTGTTATCCCATGGTCCTCTGTCCCCCGTCACCTCTTCCTGGCCAGTAACCTACAGGGGTGTGCTGTGTGTCTCCGCTCCCAGTTGCAGATGGGGAGCCTGAAGCCCAATGTGGCTGTGACAGGGGAGGGAGGTGGTTCAGTCACTAATAGTGAGAGAGGAGCCTTCTCCACCCAGATCTCTTCCTAAGCCTCTGGGGAGCTAGGACTCCCGAGGACAGCAGCAGCTGTGTCTGCCTGATTGTCCGGGACAGAGTTCCAGGTGTGTCCACAACTGCTGAGCCCTGCAGAGGGCTTGAGGGTGGAAGGGTCAGGGTGAGTCAGGCAAGATGTTCTTCATAGCCCACACTCTCCCACCACTAAAGTCTCAAAACAAATTTTCATTCCTGTTAACTAACCTGGTGGTGCATATGATCCAGAAGTTCCACTTTGGGGGTCTGAATCACCCACAAAAAAACACCTTAGGGCCCTCCCCTATTCCCACCTCCATGGGTGATCTCCCTCCTTGGAGCTCAAACTCAACTGGTTTTCTCTGTGGATCTGGTATTCCAGACAGGGCCTGGGAGCCAACTTCAGGGACATCAAGACTGAAAAGGCCCAAGAGTTCACCTCAGTGACTAAAAGCAAAACGGAGGCCCAGAGATGTTTGAGGTCCCAATGACCATCCTGTCCCTTTATCCCTTTCTGTCATTCACAACTCTGCCATCCCCTACCTCCCTCACTGACACAAAACAGTATAAACACTAACTGCATCAAATAGTATAAACATCATCCTGGGCTTCGGAGGCAGACCTGGGTTTGCTTTCTGGCTCAACTGTGTTGTCTTCAAGTCTCAGTTTGCTCATCTATGAAATGGGGATAATCAATATACCTTGCGATGCTATTACAGAGCTTAGAGACTGTATGTACAATGTGCCTGGTAGAGCAACTGGCCCCTTCATGCAGTCATTTAAGAAACACTTTTTGGGCACCAATTGTGCACCAGACCCTAGTTGAGGTCCAGGGATGAAGTGGTAAAGAAAATAGAACATGACCTTACACTTGTGGGGCTCACATTCTGCCAAGAAGCAGACACACAATAAACTAATAAGTAAGAAAAATATCAGATGGAGTGAGTTCAAGGCAGAGAAGGAAATAGGGTGAGAGAACAGAGAATGACTTGGGGCTGCTTGAGACCAGGTAGTCGGGGAAGCCTTCTCTGTGGAGGCAGCATTTTAAGCTGAGATCTGAAAGGTAGGAAAGGGGGAAAGTAGTCCCAGCAGGGGAACTAGTTAGTGCAAAGGGCCTGTGGCCAAAATGAGCCTGGCATGTTCTAGGGACATAAGGGAGGGCAGCGTGTCTGAGCAATGGATTCTGTGACATAGCAGGAGAGGGAAGAGGTGAGGGGACAGAGTTGAAGACGTGGACAGTGATCCATGGGATGCATTAGCCAGGAAAAGGAGTTTGGATTTGATTGGGAAGTCAAAGGGGGTTATCTTTTTCTTAAGTGGATGGGTAGGAGATGAAATGTCAGTTTAATGCTGGTTTCTGTAGAGAGAATGGAATTGGGAAGGGCAGGGTGAGGCAAGGAGAACAGTTAGGAGGCGATTGTGGACTTTGGGGTAAGAAAGGAGGACAACTAGGTGGACAGCATGAAGATGGGGAAAAGGGGTTGAGTCCAGGAGATGTTTGGAGAGTAGGGTCAGCAGGACTTGCTGTGGTGTTAGATACGGGCTGGGGAGGCCAGGAGCAGAGGAAGGAACCAGGGAGCACTCACCTGGTCCTGTGGTGTTAGATACGGGCTGGGGAG